GATCATTTGTTTGTTTTCTTTTTACATGGGAGGTAATTGCTAATGAGTCTGAGAACAGGTGAAGGACAAAGAAGAAGCATAAAGAACCAGGTGTTATCTGATGTTATATGGTAATTTGTGCCTATAATCCCAGCCCTGAGACGAGGGCAGGAAGACTGCATGTCAGAAAACAGCCTGGGCTGCGTACTGAATTCAAAGTCAGCTTGGGCTACACAGCAAGAACCTGTCACAAACAAAACAAAACAAAGATGGGATTCCTGCAGGAAAACTCAAAAAGGGCAATCCAGCTCCTTAGGTCTCTGGACTGCAGCTCCCTGTTGGTCCCCAGGAATATCTGTCCTCTCATCTGACATAGCCTGGTTAACTGCTCTTGCAATGAAGTTTCCTTCCAAATAAAATGTTGCTGCTTGATCAAAAGAAGCACTTAGCCCTTCTTACTACACTATACCTAGTGTCAATCATTCTCTGCTGCCATGTTCAGAGTAAGCCCCTGATGAGTATGTGGAACAGAGGAATAAATGAGTAAGTGATTAGTCGGGTGACTGGACTATTTAAATTGTACTAAATTGGACCCAGTTGGAAGAACAGTAACCTCTATGGCTTCCCAAGCATGGCTGCTAGAATTGTAAACAAAACCTGCATCATCTTATAACTTCATCTTCTACGCAGGCCTTTAACAAGCTTCCAAAGGGGGCTCGTTCTCGGGCTTGTCTTGGAATTTTCCTTGCCGTTACTGCTTTATGAAAGACCCATCACCCCACTTCAGTTCACACTGGATTCTGTACTCCACTACTTCCAGCTTAATGACCTACACATTCTTATGTCTGATTCTTTCAGAAACAGTGAGGAAATAGATCTGGCACTACCCATGGCCCCTCTTGCCCCATGAACAACTTCATGTTGCATTTGGCATAAAGCAATGGATTTTCTAAATCATTAAATTCGCATGACTTTCAACATCAATGGCTGTATAAACCATCTTGTGGGCGTCTCTTTGGCTTCATGCCTTTGTGTCCTGATCAAATGCATTTTTTATTCTTCTTGTTCTAATAACAAAAGATAGCTTTCTCTATATAAAAACCTTTTTGCACACTTTTAAATGTTCTTTTTAAGAAAGCCGCCTATAGGTAGAATGTCTGAAACAAAAGACAGGATCACAGCTAAAGCCTCTGAAATGTACTGCCAAACTGCTTTCTTGGGAAATTACGAGTAGTTTCACACCCCATAGCGCCAGAAATATGAGCGTCTGCCTTGCCCTACCACAACTAAATGATGATCTGTTAGCTCAGGGACACTCTATTTCTATAGGACACAAAGAGGGACACTTGATTTAACTTACATTAGCTTTATGCCCACTGAGATCAAACATTTATATGTGTATGCCTATTTGCCAATTCTATCTTTTCTTTTGTGTTTAGTTGCCAATGACCTTTGTGCTGCTTTTCTCATTTATTTATAAGAACATCTTTAAAAGGCTGATGATTTTATATGAACAGATGTCTTTTCCAGCTTAGTGCTTAATTACATAAGATTTTTTTTGAATCTTAACTCTGTGGCTTTAAGTTTCTATATAGTTAATTATCTCATGTTTTATTGGACTTCTTTTTACAAGGATGCTAGGTAATTACTGAATTACTACTTGAAGATTTATGTCTTACCTTTAAAATTCGATTAAAAAGAAAAAAAGTAATGAAAAATCTTCAAGAATGTTTTTTATAAAAGGCAGGCAGATCTCTGTGAGTTTGAGGCCAGCTAGTTCCAGAACAACTAGGACTGTTACATAGAGAAACCCTGTCTCAGGGGGAAAAAAACTACTATAGGACATTGACCTTTCTTCCACTAACCCAAATCTGGGTCTCAGGGTCCCTGGTCTGGCCATAGTTCTGCTACTGTGTGTTCAGGTAATGTTTACTTGAATATATTTCAGAAAGCCCAGACTGCAAACCCATAGACAGTGGGTACAGTGAGGTACAGGTCCACTCTGGTTCTTTATCGTTAGAAGATGCCTCTACAGTGACTCTGTGTATCTGCATTTCCTTATACTGCCAGCTAATTTCTGTTTCTTTACCTTTATTAACAACTATCCAATTCTCATAGAAGAATCCAATTAAGTAGTCCTGGTTTTTGTTTCTCTTTTTCTTTTGATCCCTACCACACATAACATGAACTACAGAAGGGGCCTGGTTCTGGTCAAATAGTCTAAGACACACTGGCTATGCAGGGTTGAGTTGAGTTGGAGTCAAGTGGGGGGAGGGTGGGGCCATGACAGGGTAGGTTTTCTAAATAGGATATGCACGCAGCATCCCTCTCCAGTGTTCCATAATTGTGTGTTTATTTGTGATTAAAAATGCAAAAGAAGCAGAGTAAATAGCAAGTGCTAATGGAGTTCAGAGGTCACCAAGGGCCAGAACTGTGTTAATTATATGCTACAAGATCCTGCAATTATAAAGCCAGAGATGAGCAAATACATGCTGATAGCTCCGCCGATAGGACCAAGAAGTCATTTTCCTATGGCCTTTGGTAAGTGCAGGGCAGGATAAATGACTTATGTATAAATTCACCTAGAGATTTCACTAATATCGTCAGCTATCTCTTCCACTAGTGCCGGAGATAACCACAGAATAAAGAGAGGAAGTAAATGCCTTCGGCGGATTTCCATATTCATTGCTTTCCAACTCTGGGTGCTTGTAACAAGATAAACAGGTCCGTCGTCCTTTATGACTAGCTGACTCACGTTACAGAAAATCATATGCTCACTGCTTTTCTTTACTGGAGTCGTGGTGACATCTCTTCCAGCCACTCAGATCCCAGTGACAGTGATTGGCATTCCTTGTCTGTCTGAAGAGATGTCACAGGGAACATAACTACAAAGAATGACTAACATGATGGCTGCAGGTATTGAACCTTCTGGGGCTTAGAGCTAAGAAGTCTTCCAAGAGAAGATTAATGCTCTCAAGGACTACAGGCAGACATGGTGGCCAGAGACTAATACAAGGGGCTCAGTCTTCAGAGGGTTCACAAACCCTGCATGCCACGTACTTAAGCTTCTCTTTCTTTTTTCAACAGCACCACTGGGATTTCATCCCGCTTTGTAACCTAAAAATTAATAATGATATGAAAATTTTTAGACCTAGTGGCAATCTAGAATACTCAAAATAGCTTAGGGCTTTCTTGAAAGAGCCAGAAAAATGTGTTTTTCTTGGTAAAGAACAGCAAATACTATCTGTTGATTCAGTGAACATTTATACAGTTCCTAGCAAGAGCATTCTGAACATAGCTGTGTAGCACTTGCTATGCATTGTACTGAGACCTACATTTTATATACTACATGGCAGAATCTAGGACTTTAATGAAGCTATTGGTTGGAAAGACGAACTACAGTCTCACCATCGTTTTGATTTTGCTGTTAGCTTGCAAGAGAACTTAGTCAAGGGTTCTCTTGACTATGTTTTAGTTTTTGTTTCTTCTCATTGATTCACATCCACAGGCATCAAGTGTTTTACAACCAAGAAAAGAATCTGAGTCAGAGAGACCTAATCTTCAGCATATGACCATATAAAAGTAACACACAAACAAGGAAGAAAGGAATGGCAGATTAAACTTAAGAGCTACATGAATCTGTAACACTACTAATTTATCTCTGCTTTTCCAAGGCTTTGGGTGATACATGACTAAGCTTAGATAAGTAATTAATTCATGATGAAGGAACACTGTGAGTGACTATAAGCAAGAAAAAAGGGCACCTCCTTCTAAAACCCAATGTATTTAAGTTTTCCCCAAACACTGAATTATTTAATTCTTAAATAATGTAATAATGTTATACAGACATTAAAATTATTACAAAAACGCAAGTGAAAGTTTAAAGAGTCCAGCTCTTGGCAAAACACAAGGTCCATTTTCATGGACTTGAATGTAATATGGTACTCAGAAAATGTAGCTTTTATCTTTAGCTGGATACAATATAGCTATAATGTTTTGGAGGACATATATTAGTCAGTTTGAGTTTATTTTTTTCTCTAAATATGGTTCAACTTAACTAGAAAAAATGGTAACATAATCTTCTTGATCTGTAGAGTCAACATCAGACTGACAATTGAGTCAGCTCTCCTGGGCAAATGGGATTCAGGGGTTACATCACCATGGGAATGTTTTATATTCATTAACTTCTTTTTTCTGAGATCCTGTCCTGGCAGTTTAGAGCAGATTCCAGCAATGTTAACACAGAGATTCATTGAGTTTTCCAAACAGTTACAAACATCAAACTATGAAGTAAGAAAATAGTGTTCCTTATATTTCCCTATGTAGGAAGAGTGTTCAGTGGGTGCAATGAAACTGAGTGTGTCTGCCCTTATGGTGGGCTAAGATAGCAATTTCTTTGTATTAAAGCTACGGCCTTGAGTTTTATAAAAGTCGTCTGAATTTTAGCTCCTGTTTATATGACAAAAGGTGACAGTACCTTAAACTAGATAATGTGCTTTTATCCCACATGAAAGGAACCCAGAGGCACTGTAATATCCCACATGTCATCCGTGACACCGGCTCTACACGCCGATCCTTTATGCTCAACTGCCTGTATAATTTACCTTTATCCTCTAGGTTGCTTCATGGTCCAAGATAGCTATTGAAGTACCAGTCATCATATTGCTTAGAGGGGGGAATTCAGCAGGAAATAATTACAAAGATCCTAGCAAAATCAACTTCCCTGCAAGCAGCTTGTTCACAAAACACCCTGCCCAGGTCATACTGGACTAAACACATTTATGGAGCTGGATCTACTCACAACTGAGGCTAAGGATTAAAGTCAATATACGTCTAAATAAATCTAAAAATAATGTATGATGGGTTAAGTATAAGCAGAGAAATTGATTTATATGAGGACATAATGATAAAATGTCTTGAAGTTGGATGTTTCCTTTTAAACACAGTGAACTGCTGCTAGCCGTAGGACTGGTCTTCCTGTGTGCTAACTCTGCATCTTTCTCTTGCTCTTGTGTTACCAGGCCTCCGGAACCCGTTTACAGCACTGTGAACAAACTGGGTGATAAGCCTGCTTCTCCCAGGCACTATTCCCCTGTTGAGTGTGACAAAAGCTTCCTTCTCTCAGCTCCCTACCCCCACTACCATCTAGGCCTGCTCCCTGACTCTGACATGACCAGGTACTGCATGCGCTTCCTCGCTTCGCCTCCAGTTGCATGTGCTTCCACAAGGCTTGGTGGGTGGAATTCGCCTCCACTCATCCGTTTTTGTGCTCAAGCACCTTCCTTGTGGAGAGATGTTCGGCTTCCATGGTACAATGGGAGAAGTTGAGAACATGGCTTTTATGATTTTTCTTGTTGCTGTGCTCACAAAGCACTTTCAGACATGATCATGTAGAGCTCCATGTGTTTAATAAGGAAATAATTACCTTGTTCCAGCACTATTTCCTTTATTAGAGGGATAAAAGAGAACATTTAATGAGTATTCTAAATAATACTTAATAAATGTTCACTATGCCTCAGACACAATGACCTAAATATATACATATTATTATTGTTAAATAATGTCAATTAGAATATTAAACTAAAGTCCACATATAACTGACTTTCTGAGGAATTAACCAGTTTCCTAGAACTATACAATTAATTGGTTTTTATCTAACCACAGTAGCCATAAACAATATTTACACTTTGCTACTTGCTAGGTTTTTATATATGTTGTTGTCTTATTTCATTCATCCCTACATATGTAAAGATACAAAAGTCAAGGAAAATTATGGGATGTCCCTTGGCATGATTTGAGCAGTAAATATACAGTTCAAATTTGATCTTAGAGTATTCTGAGGTTTTCCATAACAACTTTTCAGGCAAATTCTTCTATGTCTAAAGACTAGACACAGTTCTGCCTTAATATCCTAAGACGTGTGTGAGAGTTTGAAAGGACTGTTATCAAATAGTGGCCAGAGTCACAGGGAAAACAGGGTAGGAAAAATAAAATCTAGTGTTCCATGAGACGCTTGCAAAATCAGTCTAGATGAAGAGCAAGGTGGAAGATTCTTATGCAGAATAGGTGCCTATTGAATTATGTTTTCAGAATCAGTGTCCTCATAATGTTGTTCGGGCTGAGAAAAATACATACAGATTTTAGAATGATTCAAAATGAAAATAAATATATTGAAAGGACCTTCATTTAAAACACATTTTTTTCATGTTTTAAGGCAATTCTGTTAAAATTCATTTACTGATCTCTCAGAAAACTAAATAGCAAATTTTAAATTCTAGCTAGCATTTCTAGAAATAGATGGGAAAATCTTGACTATCCCATCAGCTCAAAAATTTCACTTATTGCAATAATTTAAGCGTAACGAGATTGCATAGTGATTTATAAATATTAATTAAATCCTACCATTTTACAGATTCCAAAAAAGCTATTTGTTGGTGTGATGACCTATACAAGTTAGAAACTCAAGGACTGAGGTTTCATAGCCATGAAAGAAAGGAATATATTTCCCCACTGCCATAAAGACTTCTCTATGGTCAGCTCTGTACAATGAACTCTTCTTTAGCCAGGCATTTGGCTAAAGTACTTCTTATGAATTATTTCCTTCAATTCTCAGAATCACATTATGAGACAGATGTGATCATCTTTTACTTTTCTAAATAAAGGCACTTCTTCATCTTGCAGATCAAGGCATTGTGGTTTGCTCAGCATATCCTCAAGTCATATGCCCTAAGTGATGTCGATATGCACCAAACCACACCTACCTTTCCCACGACTTTGGAGGTTTTATTTTCCATTCTATTCTATTTATTTATTTTATTCTATTCTTTTTATTCATTCATTCTAATTCTGTCTCGTTTGCCCCTTCCTTCAATTTATCACTGTCTTCTCCTTTATCTGTCTGGAAAAACAGATGTATATGTGCAACCATTCTGGAGGCATTTTTCAGAAGCACATTGATGCCAAAAGTATTCAAACCCACTCAGCAACTCCTTCGCCAATCACCCACTCAATGAGTGACATCAACCTTGGCACAATGACTGAAATCAAAGACCTGAGCGTGATACTTAGCAATATTGGTCTTCCGGCCTCCGTCACTGAGTCCATCTTCAAGTCCAATTGACTCTGTCCTCAAAACAACCCCTCAGGTCCAGTCACTTCCCTTTCCTTTCATTGCAAACACTTTCATCAATTCCCATCATCTCCTCCCTATAATAGCTTCTTAACTGTTCTCACCAAGTCCACCATCAGTCTCACACCTACTGTGAATGCGATGTAGCTAATGTGATCTGTCAGATGAAAACAGATCAAATCTCTCTCTCCGTTTGCATTACAATGAAATGCAAAGCCAGGCTCTGCATGATCTAGCACCTGCCTGCCTTCTGAACACCTCATTTTCTGCTGACCACGGTACTCACACCGGCATAGTTCTAGGCGCTACTTGTGTTACATTTCCACCTGTCTCTGGTGTTGCCCATGTGCTTTTCGCTTGAATGGAAAGGCTTTTCTACACTTTACCTAAAAACTTCTGGTCATCTTAGATCCAAGCTTAAATTGCATTTGGTTAGAGAAGCTCTCTGAAAGAAAAATCAGGTCCCTATTATCTATTATGCCCACCCTTCTTTTTCTCTCTCTCTCTCTCTCTCTCTCTCTCTCTCTCTCTCTCTCACACACACACACACACACACACACACACACACACACCTTTATATCTCTCCCTGAAAATTTAATTGTACACTTTTATTTCATTTTAATAGATAAAAATAAGTAAACAAGGAAAATATGATCTTCGGACAAGTAAACTGATACCTACTTCCCGACCAGGTTCCATTCACATTTTTTTAATTCAGTTCATGACAAATGCATGACACTAGCCCTTGATATTTGCGTAGACAGATGGAGCAAACCACAGTGATGGGATCTCACTGTACATTACACTCCTACCTAAGTTACTCTAGTGTTCAGCGTCCACAGATCCATTAGACAACTGTGGACTCTTCAGAAAGACAGAATGACTTGTTTCAGAGTTTTTGTTTTACTTCTCCAAGGAGGTGTAACCACCCCCAAGCTGATGTTTCTTGAACTCTAGCTAGTATTTCATAAAAATGTTTCGAAGATTCTGATTCCATTTTCTTAACTATATCTTACTTTGCTGCTGAATCCTCAGATAAGGCATGGTCTCTTTTATGAAGAAGTCAAATATAAAGTCCCATCTCTAGGCTAGTCACAATGTCCCAGTCTATGACCTTCTTCAGTCTATGTTTTAATATTACTCATAATAACAGTAAAACATGTTGAAATCCTTACCTAAAAATAATATTGAAAGAATGCACCTGTTTCTTTATCCAACCAAGACATATCAAGCCCCAACCAAATGCAAAGTATGATACTATAGCAAAGGTTTACTGAGGTGCTTGCTGAAAAGACCAACCAAAAGTATTGGGGGGAGGGATGTGTGAGCTTTAAACTACAGTGATTGGCAGGGCATCTGAGAATTTCCCAGAGTCTGTTTGGGAAGTCCATCAGTACAGGTACAGCTGTCACTGCCTCAAACCGCAGATTCATAATTGAGGCAGCACAGGGAAATTTAACCTATGGAACTATGCTTGTGTGTATCGATCCTAGATTGACATCTCAAAAGGCAGCAATAAATTGACAAAATTAAGGAGAACTTTTTCTATGTTGTCTGAGTTTCAGGGGGAAATTCAAGTTCTCAGTTCCTTGGACTTCTAGCAAAGGCTCAGGGATAAACTGAGTACATATCTTACGCGGAGGTGTTATGTTTTCCTTAGGAAAGCCTTTTAAATTGTTTGGCATATTAGATAAAGACACAGATTATCTCTAGAGTGACTTTTCAGGTGATGCATGAAAAAGAAACGAGAAGAGCCTGGAGTTAAACTAAAATTTGAAGTTCTATTAAAAAAATGACATTGCTACGAGACTTCTACTTATCTAGTACATCACTTTTTCCTGAAAGAGAAAATAGTTTTTGATGTTGTAATTGGTTTTTCTACTTTGAAAGAACCAGCTATTTCTTTTGATATTCCCAAGGCAATGTGAATAGTATTCTTGGCTGTCTTTTCAATGTCTATGTCATGTTTTCATGTGTTCTTTTATAAAAAAAAATGGCCTTGGTTATTATATTTTGCAGCTTAAAGGAGAGACTGAGGCAAAACAGTTGATAGCCAATTAAAATGTGCTGGTTGATTTTGGATATGAAATGGACTCAAAGTATTATAAAATGGATTTAAAGTATTGTATAAAGTACTTTCAGTTATTGAAGCGAATGTATTCATAGTACTGCAGCATGTCAGTTAGATGCTACATGTTGTGTACAAAAGCAGATGAGATATAGTCTCCCCCCCTTAAACTCAATGGCATGCAAGTGATGACTTAGTCACTGTGTAATATATATCTTCTCAGAGTCCTGGTCCTCTAATGGACCTAATCTCTGTAATTAGTTGTTTTGTTTTGTTTTGTGATTGGAATCAATTGAATTTAAAAGTTTATTTGTACAAAGAAAAATTATCAAGAAGACACTGAGACTGTCATTCATATTAGAGAAAAAAATGTGTTGGGAATAAAAGAAATAATCCCGATGGTGTAGAAAAGCAGGGTGACTTATGGGAATATCAGCTTTAGGTGAGGGATCAAGTTGGAGTTACGGGTACCTGCAGACCCTAGAGGGACTTTTGCTATAAACAGTGGGGAGGCTTGGTCAATTTTAAAACTGCTATATGAACTGTGACTCTAAAGAGATTCTTATTCTATAGTGTTGGAAGCGTTTGAAGACAGGGAGATGAGTATGTGTCAGCCACACCATAGAGTACAGTTGACATCCTGATAACCGGGGTCGACTCTGCAGGGATAGATACAGATAGATTCAGACTCTTATGTGTTCAGAACTGCGTAATGGTTGATACACGAGGAGAAATATCTGGCTCGGCATATTTACTACATGGCTTTTTATAGAGAATGGGTATTCTTCTTCATAATAAACACACTTAAAATTCCCCAAAGAACAATGAAATGTTATGTTTATACATGAAAATATCATAATGAAACGTAGTATTTTCTACAACTAAATACAATATTTAAAAGGAGATTTGGGGTTCTTTAAAGTAATCGAAGAAGAGAGAGACAAAGAACATTAGGACCATCATTTAGAGTGGGCCGTGTG